AAGAAGAAGAAGAAGAAGAAGAAGAAGAGAAAAAGCCTTGGGCTCAGCTCAGCTTCTTGTTATTCAGATCTAGTCTGTGATGCTGCCACATTTAGGGTTGACTCCCTCCACACAAATGTGCATTGAGGCTTGTGTTCATGTGATTCTAAATCCTATCAAGCTGCCCATCACAGGGCTCCTACGTGGACCAGGCTGGAGAAGCAGGAGGTGGCAGGCATAGGTGCAGCCCCCTTACCCACGCTGTTACACTGTATCACCTTCCAGTGTGGTTATGGAGCTCCAGTGGTAATCTTTCCATCTCCAACAAGGACCTCTCTCTCCCTCTCTCTCTCTCTCTCCAGACAGGGTTTCTCTGTGTAGCTTTGGAGCCTATCCTGGCACTTGCTCTGGAAACCAGGCTGGCCTCGAACTCACAGAGATCCACCTGCCTCTGCCTCCCAAGGGCTGGGATTAAAGGTGTGCGCCACCAACACCCGGCAAGGACATGTCTCTTTCTGCCTACTTTCCTTCCCCTGTCCCTACAGTTCTCTAGGTCATTTCCAGAATAAAATACCTTCTCAGACTCCTTTTAATGTCCGACTCTTGGGAAACCCAGCCCAAGACATGATGTCTCTCCATGCCTCTGTTCCAGCATCTGGAATATTCTCTACTCCTCCTGCATCTTACTCCAGAAACAGAGCAAAGCAATGATGGGCGCTCTTGAGCGTAGAGGTGGAGGAGCTATCGAGACATTGCAGCAATCCACAAGGAGTGAGAGTATCACAGCTCTGAAGCAGAGATCAGGTTCTACCCAAGTCAGTGACGAGAAAAACCAGTGGTGAAATATGCAGGAACCAGGCGGTGAAAAGGACACCAGAAGCATACGAAGGGCACAGTCCTCTTCACCCAACACAGTGGGAAATTCACAGACACTTCTCCACCTTAGACCAGGTAAGAGCCCAGGAAAATCCCAAAGTCTTTGTTTTATGGCACACAGCCATGCAAGCTGAAGAGTAAGGGCATGTTCCGAAAGACATGGCATTAAGGGGACTTCCTCCGAGTGTGACTGACCTAGTGTGGACTTATATAAACCCACATGGTGGAGATCAGCCACTCAGTATTGTTAAACCCCCGAAAACTCAAGTATCTGGGGTCCCAGGCCACGACTGCGGTCACCCCAATCACCAGGCGGATTCGAGAGCTTGATGCAAAC